GTGTGCAGATGAGCATTTAAACGGCATTTACAGCAAGTTATCGACAATAATAGGCGAAATAGAGTAGAGAAACATTTAAAACTTTGATAGTAGATACATTTAGTGTTTATTTACCATTATTTGTTTGAGACGCGTTCAATGAAGTGCCTGTGCCACTGTACCACTGTCGGATACTACATCACTGCACTGTGTACATACTAATATAGTAACATCCGATTATGAATTATTTTTAGATTTTTGTACACTTGAATGAGAGATTTGATATAGCTATTGGCATAAAAATATTATCTATTACATATATTATAATATATATATTAACCATGGTTATCCATATTATTTCTATGTATCAAACAGACGCGGAGCGGGTTTTGCTTCCTAAAATGGCGGACGTGGCGCTCCATTGCGTACTACACGTCATTGCACGTGATTTCGCATGAGTGGTTTAACTTGTGTCACTCTACGATCTTTGGTATCATATATTTTGCAGGTCAGAAATTTCGCATACAAAGACGAGCTGTGATGCTCTGCTGTGATTAGTCGGGTCGGGACGCACGCGAAGTGCGCGTGCGCATAGGCGCGGGGGGCGGGGCTATCTCAGATATTTCGCAAGTCAGAAATTTCGCGCTACACCTGTCGACATAGCGAGACCCTCTCAGCATTAGTCATATTCAAAATGGCGGACATTGACGCAGCGCAAACACTGATCGCAAATGCTAATTAATCCGGAAAATCAACAAATAGCGAAGAAACGCAAGTCGAATTTTACAGCAAGTGAGAAAACATATCTGGCAGACCTCGTCAAGGATAATTTCCACGTACTTACCAGTATGTAATTTATACGTACCAGTACGCATTTACCAGTAACTTAACTGCAAAAATGAAGAGCGAGAAATGGGAGGAGATCGCCGGAAATTAAATGCCATAGGTACGGGAAGCAGCAGAACAGTAGGCCTAGCGGAGTTAAAAACTCTCTGGAAAAACCTTCAGATGAAGGCAAAGAAAGCAAATGGCTTCCAAAAACGAGAGGCAGTAAAGACAGGAGGCGTACCATCACCCCCTCCATTAGATGAAACGACCAATATCATCATTGGCTTCATGAATGACAAACCGTCATTCAGCGGCATTCCCGGAGGCATAGAAACAGGCCCCGCCAGCGATACAAGTACGTTTATTTTATTTGTCTATTTATTGGTATTTAACACTTATATATGCTACAGGACAAATTTTGATTTCCCACACGAGTGTTTATTTCTATGAGTTTGGGATGATCGCGATTGTTTATGTTTTTATTCATTACGCTATTGTAGGGGTGTCAATGTGGGGAACACACGTCAAGGTCACATTTAATGACGAGGAGTTAAGGCAGAGGTACCGCTTCGGGAAGAAAGGAATAGCATTTCTTTATGATACAGTGAAAGACGATTTGCAGAGGCCGACGAAACATTCATGCGCGATTCCGGCGATTGTACAAGTTCTGATAGCTATACGTCTCGAACGAAATTGGGGATACTTTCGGAGTTTCAAAAGCGACCGTATCGAGAGATCACGGATGTAACGGAATCTCTAAACGGCAAAAGATCTATAAGACATAAGATAAGAGAACAATGAATTTAATATGTTTATATTCTAAATCTCATTTTATTATTATTGAATAAGTTAATTAAATTATGTGTTGTTTATAAATAATGTATTTTCTTTTTAGTGTGAATTTCGTGACAACATATACTGTCATAGGCTGACATTTATTTCAGAAATATGTCTGGACGATATGCTCCCTGAATGTATTGCCATTATCTGGGCCATCATATACGTCATCACCATCAACGTTATTATCACAATCATTGGCTTCGGTGGTTAACGGTTCATCTAACGAAATCGCAATATTGTGCAAAATTGCACAAGCAACAAACATCTTGCAAGCCTTCGACGGTTCTAGTCTCATTTCACCATGAAAGAGGTGAAATCTTCTTTTTTAAATGCCGAACGCACGTTCAACAGAGCATCTGGTGCGTTTATGCGCAATATTGTATCTAAAAAATAAAAAAACCATGCAGTTCCAGTCCAGGTTGGAGTCAAACCAGGGTTCGATGCAACACAATTACTAAAAAAATCCTTAACCCAGCTAAATATTAAGTGCCGTTTTCAAGCACTACCTAATTTGTGTATATAAGACTATAAAAATTAACTTATGGATTAATTTTGTTATTAATGTTTTGTTCTGAAATCGTACCTTTCTTGTTTCACTCCAACTGGGTTCAGGAAAGGCGTCATCAGGTACGGTCTACAGGCATAACCAATATCACCTAGCAGAATGCCATCGATCTCTATAAAGTCCTTTTTAGGTTCATCTAATATAGTAAATAGTAATATAGTAATATCGTATTTAAGTCGGCCGCTACATTTTATGTGCATAGCACCCTTACCTATTTTAAAATGGAATGACCCAGTTACTGGAAATCTAATAATAACTAGTCTAGACAACAGTCTACATTCACGACACGCGCGGCTACAGCTATTGTCTCTGGGTGTACAACGCGTTACTACGGCTCAAGGGGTCGTTGTCGTAACAGGTACTACAGATATGTACCTCGGGTACATATCTGTAGTACCTGTTACGACAACGACCCCTTGAGCGTTACTACGATGGCACCAACCCTCAAATCGATTGGGTTCAATCTCAATTTTATTCACAGGATAATAATACTTTATTCACCAAAAACTAGGATAATACTTTTGTGCTAATTTTTCATTCAATGAAAGAATGTTTGGATTACATACAGTATATATTGCCATTATTAGACTTAGATATTAGAGTGATTGTATTTATTATACTCCCGTGACGCTCGTAGGGTCTATGTCCCCCAGGGTACTGCCGGAACGTACCCTGGGTACGGTCCGCCGGTCCGGTGTACCGGAACGTACCCTGTTAACTATCTGATATGGTAGGCGTAGGCGACTCACTAGACTCGGTAGTGGAGTAGGCGAGGTACGGTCCGGCATATTACATAGTACCAGGGTACGTTCCGGTATACCGGACCGTACACAGGGTACGTTCCGGCAGTACCCTGGGGGACATAGACCCTCTCAGCTCCCGTGACGGAATGAAGAAGGTATAGGTCAACATGACCAGTGGCGTAGACAGGTCCTCAGAATTCAATTGTTGAAAAGTTGCAATCTAAAAGCACACAATTTTGGACATCTCTATCATAGAATATTAGGATTTTTCTTCTTCAGGGCGTGTCCCTCTCCTGTTTAAGGGGGGGGGGGTCCGGGGATTTTGTTGAAAGTAACACCTCTTCGATGCAATTTCCTGCACTATGAGGCAGCACTATTAAACAATCTTCATCACAATAACATCACTGTTGAGTTGAGTATTCTTTGGGGACACCAGACTAAAATACTTAATACCAAATCTGTGCTATGTGGTTGTCCTCACTGGGGTTACCAGTGCAGACTTACCTAGGCTAAAATACATTTGCCTTGAAAATTCTGGGGGGGGGGCGACCGCCCCGTGCTACCGACCCCCCGTTGACAACTACAGCACTAAAATCAGCTCCCCTGAAATTTTGATAAAACGTATATTTTACTGAGAACGTTAAAACTGCAAAAAAATATGAGAAAAACAACCAGATTTGAACAAAAACGTGCATTTTTTCACCCCTTATACAAAATCAGGAATATACTTCCGGTCGGGTCTCAGCACCCCCATCCCCCCCCCAAAAGTGAGATAAAATAGAATTTTCCCATTCAATCCCCGTGAAGATTCAACATCCCAACTCTCAATAGGTCTATTCTAATTTTGAATAAAGCAAGGATTTAACTTTCGTGAGCAGTGATAAGACTTTAGGGATTTTGTAAAAAATCGTATATGAGGAACCCGTCCAAAATTAACCGTCTGAGTTTCAGTAAAATAATGTCATTCTTGGAACGAGTTACAGCCATTTTACAGTAGATGTATGTCACGTTCCATTTCTGTAATAATACATTAGGAGAGTATTAATAGCGATGACGGATTTGTAGATAAATATCCAGTATTTATTGTCTGTAAAATATTTAATTTTTCCCTATTTTCTTCCTGAAAGTAGCGGGGATGAAAGCCACCCCACCTCAATAAGTGTGGGGGGATATACCCCCATCCCCCCGCTATCTACGCCCCTGTCAGATAAACTCAAATTTGACTTTTGATATGCATACAAATATTCATAATCATAATCTTTGTTAGCAGTACTCTACAGGTGCCGCGGAACAATTTATGAAGTGGGGGTGCTCAATTTGTTACGCTCGACAATGGCCAATGCATGTTTTCGAGGAGGGTGGTAAGAAACAGGCGGGGGTATGCGGGTCCTCCTCCAGAAAATTTTGAATTCCCCATTTTCCTCCTGAAAGTAGGGAGGGATGATTGTACACGCCCCCCCCCCACGTCAATAAGTGGGGGGATGCATCCCCCATCCCCCCCCGTTATCTACTCCCTTGAACATGACCCATTGTATATTGTATTGTAGACACGAAGGGGGGACATGTTAACTAGACTAGGGTCCAACATACTCCCCTTTACTATCATTAATTGCCTGTACATTAATGGACGGAATTAAGGTAACGCTTCCGATTAATGTAGGCAGGTTCGTCATTGACGGGGCGCTGAATTCTGACGGGTGTCCTGTCGACAGACCCTACCACCCCGGGAAAGCCAGCGAGTTTGTGAAAACCTTCCTTCTGCTTTGCAATTTCGCTAGCACTAGCTGGCCACTTGATGAATCGGTTTCTTTTGCGGTTTAGAGATTCCGTTACATCCGTGATCTCGATACGGTCGCTTTTGAAACTCCGAAAGTATCCCCAATTTCGTTCATGAACGCTTCAGTTGCGTAAAGACGTAGAGCTATCAGAAGTTGTATCATCGACGGAATCGCGCTGATTCGCGCATGAACGTTTCGTTGGCCTCTGTAAATCGTCTTTCACTATATGATGAAGAAATGCTATTCCTTTCCTCTCGAAGCGGTACCTCTGCCTTAACTCCTCGTCATTCAATGTATTTATAAAATCGTATCGATGTCTATATTGCCTCATATTTCGCTCATTCATACGCTCGTAAATAATTGCGGCCTCCATGTTGTTTTTTAGCATAACAACTAATTATGATTAGTGGATTTATCATGCTCCTGAGTAGAATTAAATATTGTGATGAACTTAATCATGAATAAAGTTAATTACGCTTCGTGAAACAGTCACTTCAATTACGAGAAGTTAATCATGATTAAGGACTTAATTACGCTTTGTGAAACCGGCCCCTGATAATTATATAGCTCATTTAAACAATCCATCAAAAAACAATATATATACTAGGCAGGTGACCATAAACAATTATATTATTTCTATGACAACGAGACCAGCGACGTGAGCGTCATTGCTAGTAGGGCTTATGTTCATTAGCATACGAGAAGGAATATAACTGGATGCTGCGGCCAAAGGGAAATGTTTAGAGCGGATTTTACCATGCACATTTCCCTCGGTCATTCCCATGCCCATTTCAAGCACGAAAGTTTGGCCGAAAAATATTATTTTGGCTGGCAACGCGACCAGCGACGCGAGCGCCATTCCTATGTACATTACTGATTAGCATATGAGAAGGATTGCGGCGGATGCTGCAGCCAAAGTAAAAATACTAAAATGTTTAGAGAGGCTTTTGCCATGTACATCTCTCCTGGACATAGCCCTGATCATTTTAAGCGCGTAGGATTGGCCGAAAAATATTATTTTGGCTGGCAACGAGACCAGCGACGCGAGCCATATCATTCTTTTTCCTTTAAGAAATAAATAATCAACGCTAATGATAGGTACTGGGTTGTGATCAGTGGTAACGCCCTTTATGGAGAGAAGAGCACGATATCGCTAGCGTACGTAGCAACCTGTATTGAAAGGTGGCGGTGTTTACGTGCACAAGCACGCACGTGTACGTGCACACGTACGCACGCACGCACGTACACGCATGCACGCACGCACGTGTACGTGCACACGCACGCACGCAAACGTGTACACGCGCACACGCACGCACGTGTACGTGCACACGCACGCACGCACGCACGCACGCACGCACGCACGTGTATGTGCACACGCACACACGCACGCACGCACGTACGTGTACGTGCACACGCACGCACGCACGTGTACGTGCACACGCCCGCACGTGTACGTATGGTGTTCCAAAATTGCCACCAAGGAAATTTATGTGCGACGCCCTGCGCGACGGCAATTTTGGAACACCATATGTACGTGCTGTACGTGCACATGCTCGCACGCACGCATGTGTACGTGCACACGCACGCACGCACGTGTGCGTGCACACGCCCGCACGTGTACGTGCACACGCATGCACGCACGTGTACGTGCACACGCATGCACGCACGTGTTCTACTGTCTGTTTCTCGAATATACTGCGCAGACATACATCGCTAACGCAGTTTGCAAACTTTTCACTAGCTAGACCAGCATGCAACGCGCCGATAACTCTGCGCATGCGCGAGTGGTATTTACGGATAACTCTATTGATATTGTCACTTTGTCAGGAGTGGATAATAGAGACTCTCTTATCCATTCCTTAACCACTTCTTATCCACTTCTTATGGAGTCTCAATTATGCACTCCTGATATTGCCGTGTATGACCCTGACGTATGCTATGACGTAGTAACCGTAACACGAATACGAAACAGAAACAGAAACAGAAACGTATGCATTGTAGCAGATTGCGGGGTCTTTGTGAATAAAGCAGAATGGTGGTTGGCGCCGAATTTATTGACTCTGCGTATTAATGTGGTTAAATCCGGTAGTAAAGTCTACAGATATTAAACAACGATAGGAACAATAAGAGAACATAGGGTATTTATGGACGACCCAAGGCTTTACAACGGGCGATATTACTACACCTACATCCACTGGCGCCCACAGGTCTTAAGAAAGTAGAAGCACAGAAGGATAAAATCCTCAGTGATAATAAAAAGCAGGCGCGCTGCATGCTAGGGGGGTCTGGGAGCATGCCTCTCCTGAAAATTTTTAAATAGTAGACGTCTGGAGATGCAATCTGGTGAGTCTTGCAAGAAAGATTTAGGAACAAAATGTAGGAACAAAATTTTTTAACCCAAAATTTACTGGAAGCACTGTGCTTCCAGGGCTTCTATCTGCGGGCACCACTGTTCGCGTATGTTACGCATGTTCATCGATAAAAAATACTATGAAAGACGTGCATAGCTATAAGCTTCGATGATTAGTGATGTACTCTATGTTGGGCGGTGAGAGACGGGTAAGGGGTCGTACACGTACGTGTCTATCTACACGGCAATAGCGGGCCGTGCAGCGACTGCGCCCACGAAAAATATCGCGTGGAATGTGAAATAATGACAGTATTAAGTCGTAAGCGCACACACATTTATTACAGCCGCTATTCGAGAAGTCGTGTACTTTTATTCTCACGGTAAGCTGAACACAGGGATACAAACATTTCAACATGAACGTCATTCATTGGCCTTGTTCGGCTTAATTCGGTTTTGTCCGTCCTTAGTCGGCATTATCTGCCCCTATTTCACCAATTCGACCTTATTCGGTATTATTCGGCGTTATAACAAGGTCTTCCGAGGCGGACGCTTTCCGCTGTAACTGCACGAGCGCGGCTAACCGAGGTGGCAGTCCGTTCGCGCGTCCGAGAATCCGACTTCCGGTCAACGGCGCGCCGGATCCGGATCCGGACCCGCATCCTCCCCTGCCTGCGTCCGACACCCGACCCGATCCCGCCGTCGCAGAGGGCGGCGCGCAGTGCACGGGGGCTTCAGTTTTCCGCAGTGCCTCGCTATCGTCATCGTCGTCGTCGTCGTCATGTGGTGGCGTCGGACACGCTACTGTCGCCGCTGCTTCGTACAGAGTAAGCACGTGCGGTTCGCTCGTCGGCAGTATATCGCTGTCGTCATGACACGGCGTGTGTTGAAAGCGACGTGGCACGTCGACCGGATATCCGTCGACTTCCGGCGCGGAGGAGTCGCTGCACGTCGTCGACGTCGTCGTGTTTGAGTAGCCTGCAGCTCGATAGATGGCAGCATCGTGTAGCGCGTCGCTAGCGTCGTCCCCGTCGGCTCGGAATCCGGACTTCCCCGGTGTGAAGTAAACAGTAGTGCCGGCGGGGTGTGTCTCGATGGCCGGATGGCCGTAGGCATTCCCTCCTGGCTCCTGCGCGTGTCCGCCCGACGAGGCCGAATTGCGTTGGGCAGACGAATCGTCACTACAATTTCCGTCGCCAGGGGCAACGGGCTGAGCATGCTTCGACGCAACTGACGCGCCATCGTGCGGCGCGTCCAGCGATTCTAAGAAGTGACGAACGATGCACGGTTTTAGCGTCTGCTCTGTCACGTTATCGGTTGCTATGGCGACGGTACACGTGACGTCAGACGCTCCCAAGTAGTCACGCAGCCGTCGGTTGTCGCGTGCGTCGTCAGGAGCTGTCGCGGAAAGCATTCCCTCAGCCGAGTCCGGGTCAAGGCTATCGGGTTGTACAAGGAAATAGGGATACGTCGAAGCTTCGCTAGTCAACCGCGAGCAGATAGTTTCGCTGAGTGCGCTAGATGAAGAGATGCCCGATGCGCCGGTGTCACTCCCAGAGGCACTCGCAGTCTCGCACGCATTCTCGCGTTCGCTACCCGACGAGGAAAACGTCGGGAAGTTGATGCTTCCCAAGCTAGACGCGGGAGTAGGGAAGCCGGATGTGTAATCCCTGGCCGATTCGTATTCGCTGTTTCCGGTATCACTGTGAGTCGAGAAACAGGTACATTTAAGTTCCGGGAATGTCTGCTTAGAGGCGGTTATGTCGATCGCTGATTCGTGTGGCAGCGGCGTGCGCACGTCCAACGATGTACCGTCGAAATATATTTGCAAGAACGACTCTGGGACGTTCTTTTTCGAGCCGCCGCAGCCATCCTCGCCAACATCGCGTCCGGTTGTAAATTCACTGAACCTATTCCACAGAGAGCCGAGAAGGCCTTGCGTGGGCGAAAAATGTGCTCGCAGCGGCATTGGATCCGCGACCTCGTTGACAACTCTGTTGTACTGACCTATTGACAACGTCATCGAAATTTTTTTCGCACTGTAGAGATTGGCGCCTGAAGGTCTAGAGTTTGCGTCGCAAGTTTTTTGTCCGCTATTCCAGGAAGGCGCGCCGTCGGTAATCGACCTCCGGCACGTCACCGGCGAATACGTCATATCTGGCAAGATGCCAAGAATGCCTGCTAACGTAGTTTCTTCTAGTTGACTGTTCGTGGTTGACTGTGCTGAGCCAAACCCATAGTTATCCCATTCTAGACTAGCGGATTCCGAAAATCCGCTGTCGTCAGCTGAGCAGCTAGTATTCTTCAACATCCCCGTGCCGATTCTATGAAAAAAGAATGACTGTAGTTTTCAAAAAAGGCTACATATTATATATATATATATCTATATCTATATATATATATATATATTGTCTGTGCGTGCGTGCGTGCGTGCGTGCGCGCTTGTATGTGTGGGCGTGTGTGCGCGCGCGCGTGCGCGCGTGTGTGTGTGCACGTGCGTGCGTGTGCACACGGGCGCGCACGTGTGTGTATCGCCTGATTACATCTATACTTGCCATCTATACTTATCGGGTATCCGGGATGAATTTAGACTCAACAAAATCTTCTTTGAGGCAACCGATGTTCCCTCTGACACGAAATTTCCTACTAGCTAAACTGTAACATAACATTGGTTGCCAAGCGACGACAAACACTTAGTGATACGTATAATGCTTGACAACGAATGGCACGCGCGCCGCTACCTTCAATAACATTTTTAACGTAAAATTTAAAGTATAGGTAGTCCTATATCACACATGTACTATGCAGAAGAATATTTTTTATACTGATTGTAAGTGCTAGGTAACGCGCACTGCAATGTTATATCTGTATGAATCCAGCACCAGCAGATTATATTTAAATTTTTTAAATATTGTCTTTATTTTAGCCACGCCATAGTTACATGTACCCCAGCGTATATTTAGGCCACTTATGAGATAAAGGTTTTTTTGTGGATACAGTCCACTCATCTGATTATTTTATTGAGTTATTATAATTATCAAGAGAAGATACTACTTATCTATAATATATATGTAGGCTATATATATATATATTATTATTATCAAATCTTGTGATTATTAAAGTGTTATAGAGACGTTTATGTTAAGCTACGTGTGAACTATTATTCTATCATTTAAAAGATGTATTTCGACGCAAAATACTATTGGTGGCATAGGCCTATATTGAACATGCGGCGATACCGATCTTGCCAAAATATGACACTGTATAAAAAAACGAGCATCTAATAATTATGATGACATTATATTATAATTATATTACATGTATTATTTGATGTATATTATTATTTGATACAGCCTATCAATTAGTATATAATAACATTAAATTTTGACTCATAATTATAATAATAAGACACTGAAATTGCGATTTCCCATGAAAAACCAATAGTAACGATTATAAAAGGAACATTTATTTATTTATTTATTCGTTCATTTAATTTATTCATTCATTCGTTATGATAACCCCCAGCACGAAGGAACATTCGTATTCGATTGGTCTAGCGTATTATATGCAATATGATAAACAAGTTGTCGGGGAGATAATATATTACTGCCAAACACACTCAAACATACACGCGATGAGTTATATACGGTATTCATTACAGTCACATGCCACTTTAAGACATAATGATAATAACATTAATATATATAATTATTATTGGTATTATTATTACGACGATACTTTATTATTAGCAACGAATTCGACTTGGGGTTTCAACGGTGTAACGTCGACGGTGTGAAATACTGTTCGGCTGTTTAGGTCGTGTAAAATCGGTTACGGAGATTTCTGATGACTTCTGCAGCACTGCTGAAGCTGTTGATTTCGAATATGTGTGAGGGGTCGGTTGCAATGCAGTTCAACTCGGCCTTCGCGCTCGTCCCAAGGTTACTTCCAACCGACCACACGTAGATCATGATGCCTGCAATTAGTTAAAAATTAGTTAATTAATATAACAAGTACGATTTATTTTACATATAAAATTAAATAGCGAATGCGATTTAACTTGATCTTCACGTCGGATTTTGTTTCTACATCTTTTTATTGGTCAATCACATCATGCATAAGGAAATAATTAGATATTCATGCATCCGTTTATTACGCATCATAGTTTATTGTGGGTTGGTAATATAGAGGATAACAGTATTAGAATAATTTAAGAGAATAACCATCATACTTTCTTCTGCGCCTAAAATGAAACGACCGATTTCATACCGTATATTTTAGAATACGACTCGAACGTAAAATTGTGAAACATTGAGACGTTAACCACGATTTCAATATGGCGGTGATCGCTAGCTGATGCCAGTTGCGCATGCGTACCATCTTTTTTCATATCTGCCGCTTTTGGGCACGGATTGCCGCCTTCATTTGACTGACCGTCGGTCAACACGAAAACGGATTTCTTCGCACCGGCCCGACCGTATGCCTTGATCATATCGTAGGATAGCTGGAGACCAATTCTCGTGGCGGTGGCGCCACCATCTGAAAATCGAGCGAAAACTTTCTGAATGCAAGCATCTTCCATCAGATGAACAAAATAGCTCGATGTTAACACATAGTAGTACATTAATAATTAACACATAGGCCACAGGTTTAGTGTCGTGGGGCCCGTTGCCAGAAACTTCGTAAAGTTACGATTAATTTTAAGTTTAATGTTAATGTTAAGGTTAATTTTAATAGCGTTGCCAGAAACCACTTAAACTAAACTTACTTAAGTGAAAACTTACGATAACAGGAACTTCATCACAAGGCTGCTGATTGGATGGGAATCGATCACAAAATTCAAATTCATACACATTTATTGTACATCACAGTAATTTATGCATATTATGATGGCTAACCACATATAAATAATATTTGATGAAAAACGACACGGTCTTGAATTTATGCACAACAAGACAAATTCTCACACTGTAGCAATTCTCACGAGACGCGAGAGTCGTGTGGTCAGTGCAAAAGTATTTAAAACAAGAGAACAAATGCCACACGGCATTTGTAAATGTTTTGACACTTGTTGTGCTTCACGATCGGTAGATAATTAATGTTTTTGACGTGTTTTTTCAAGAAAAAAACATGATGTTACTCATTAATATAAAATATAATATCACTATAATTGTAATTCTTAGTCTAAATGTGTTATTTTCATCTTAATATTAAAGTTAAGGGAGGGTCTAGGATCTCTTAAGTTAAGAAAAAAGTTACGAGAATTTTTAATTCTCTTAACTTTACGAAGTTTCTGGCAACGCTTTAAGAGGAAAACTTAAGTTTAAGGTTAATGTTAAGACTAATTTTTTTCTGGCAACGGGCCCGTGGTAGGTAACCCCAGATAAATAAATTGCATAACTTGGCACTCAACGTCAATTATCGACGACAACAACGGCAAAAATTTCCGGCACGAGTCAATTTACTATCGGACCTACTGTCCGGCAGAGAACAAAAAGATTTAGAATTTCTCGGGTGAGTTATATGCAGGTAGTATTTGAACGAGGGTGAAAGGATGCTGACTGATTAATCACGAAAACGGAACAATACACGACAGGCTCGTGACAACGAGAGAGTCTTTCTATTGGCTTACTGTCGAATGGTATCTTCAGAATCTGCGCTTGAACATTGGCGAGTGTGTTCTGCGTGTGGTCTTGCAGATAGTTGAATTTCGTCGCCGTCTTTCCGGTTTCCGAGAACACGACGCCACCTACGCGAATCCCGGGTGACGAGATGCCATTCTCCTTGTCAAAAAACTCGCAAATGTCCTGCGGGTGAATGATGCATTGTTAGAGACAGGTTTGCGTTGGACAGTTGCTGTTTAACTTGTAATCGTTTGTGTCTCGGGGGCGTATTCTATGCCGACCATAACGAAATCGCTGCATTTGCTAGGGAACAGTCGTAAAATGTCACATTCAACCACAGATGCCCTGAGGGCGCATTTAGCCTCACTGGAACACACTAGCTGCTATATAGCTGTCTCTCGTAATGAATTCAGTCCCGCTAAGGATGTCTATTGCGATAGAACTATAATCTCCATATTAATAGATGTTTCTTTAGTGAGCTACTGCCGGGAGTTCAGCCCCCGTGTATAGGCATCATTTAGGATACCTGCAATCCATTATCTGCGTCCCATTCAACCCCAGATGCCCTGATGGCGCATTTAGCCTCATGGGAAAACACTAGCTGCTATATAGCTGCCTGTCGTAATGCCCCAGTCCCGCCAAGGATGTCTGTTGTGAAAGAACTATAATCTCCATATAGATGTCTCTTTAGTGAGCTACTGCCGGGAGTTCAGCCCCCGTGTATAGGCATCATTTAGGATACCTGCAATCCATTATATGGTGTCGAATTTAGTTCTTGTATACCTGTCGCTCGGCTAACTATGGTAGAGTAATATAATGCGTGTGAGCGGAGTTCATTTATGGGACCATGTCCTTGATCATTGAGTATGTAAATAAATAAATATATATATTATACGTATGTGTGTGTGTGTGTGTGTGTGTGTGTGTGTGTGTGTGTGTGTGTGTGTGTGCGTGTGTGTGTGGGTGGGTGGGTGTGTGTGTACGTGCGTGCGTGCGTGCGTGCGTGTGTGTAGGGGTAAAGAGAGAATGAGAGGAAGAAGGAGGTTCAGAAAGAGAGAGAGATATAGATGGAGAGAGAGAAAGAGAAGTAGAGAGCGAGAATGCGAGAGACAGAGGGAAAGAGAGGGCGCGCGCTTTCGCTCCTCACTTACCTTCAGAACGGTCTTAGCGGTAGTAAAGCTAGCAGACCCGACGCTGCCGCTGCTATCCAGCAGCAGCACAACGTCTACGGGGCTGGGGCTGCTCGTCGCTCCTCCGGCGGCCGCGAACGTCGCTATGCCTCTGGCGGCCGCGAACGTCGCTATGCCTCCGGCCGCTGGCGCTCTCCGCGAAAACGAGCTCAGAAAATTGTTCTTCAGCGCCGTCGCCGTGTTGCTGACCGCATCGTCGGCCTGACGGTTCTGATGCAGCCTCCCTGTGAACGAAGGATCACGCGTGATGAGCGCGTAAACGATGGATCACGCATGATGAGCGCGTGAACGACGGATCACGCGTGTTGAGCGCGTGAACGACGAATCACGCGTGATGAGCGCGTGAACGATGGATCACGCGTGATGAGCGTGTGAAGGACGGATCACGCGTGATGAGCGCGTGAACGACGGATCACGCGTGATGAGCGTGTGAACGACGGATCACGCGTGATGAGCGTGTGAACGACGGATCACGCGTGATGAGCGCGTGAACGACTGATTACGCGTGATGAGCACGTGAACAACGGATCACGCGTGATGAGCGCGTAAACGACGGATCACGCGTGATGAGCGCGTGAACGACGGATCACGCGTGATGAGCGCGTGAACGACGGATCACGCGTGATGAGCGCGTGAACGACGGATCACGCGTGATGAGCGAATCACGAAACTCTACGAAATACATGAAAATTGTATGACGTAATCGGGAATATTGCAATATATAAAGATCCGAATATTACGTTGCAAAAGCTCAATTGTTTTCCTACAAAATCGCCAATAATACGTTACGAAATGCGTGAATATTTCGTGATGAAAGCGTCACTAATATTTTATGAAAGCGCGGTTCATACGTTATGAAATTGTGACTCTATTTTTTTGAAGAACAGATATAACATGTTACGAAAATGAGAATGTCCTACGTTAAAAATTGCTGAAATATGGCGTGATATGGCTATGATCAAACACAACTCCATGAATGAGGTTTTCCACGCATAGTAATTTATTGCCAGTCACAGTACAATCGTGAGCAAGAGTCCAGAAAAGGGTGTTAACACAATATATGTTTCTTCCCGTTCATCCGTCCGTACATCTGTCAGTCTCTGAGTCCGTCAGTACAGTCCTTGAGTCCGTCGGTCATTTCTTTCAACCCCGTCGATATGCGTGCGTACACAGAGAGAAAGTCCAACAACAACAAACAACCAACCCTTTCCTCTTCCGAGGTGTGTCGTATATATACAACAGCTAGGTGACGTCATCTTAGCCTATGCACGTGCAAGACCATGCGGTTTACACGTGTTTAGGCTCTCAGCAAAGTGTCGAGTTAACACGTGTAATATTGAACTGGAACTTTACAAATCACGTTCTACTCACATAATAGATAATAGATTTCACATGCATACTTCCTGTATTCTAAGAACTCCTACCCCGGTGTTCTTCTCCCACAGGTCCGGGTCTACGTGCCTCTACGCAGTTAGCATTTAACAAACATCCGGGGTGTTGGCTCATTATATTTTACCATGATAGTTTCTGTAATTACCTACTCTACGTATTAACGGAGCCCTGTTACACATTATGCAAGGAAAATATGTACGATTAGTATGATTGACGCAAAATTGTGAAAGCAATGATGCGCAATGACATCACTGTGTCGTTTTTACACCATCTGCGTGATGCTAAGAAAACAGCTTCGTTTCGTTTCACGGTCAGCGTCGAAAAAGCGCTACGATTTACATCTTACAATATCATATTTTATGATGAAGAATCTCCGTTTACTTCGATTGACATTGCAATCGCGCGCAACGTCACCCCTCTCTCTCTCTCTCGCGCTCTCTCTCTCTCTCTCTCTCTCTCTCTCTCTCGCTCCCTCAGTCTCGTCTCTCGTCTCCTCTCTCTCCATGCAGTCCGGGCAGCGCTGCTCTCCTTGTCTCTCCCATCTCCCCGGGCGCGCGATCTGTCTCCCTCCTCTCGTCTTCGCGCGGCGCAACGATCGTCTCCCTTTTGCCTCCGGAATGTAACTCTCTGTTGATAATGGCAAACGCCAGCGAAAATACGACCCAGTTGAAACCGCCAAAGATTAAAACTATCCAAGTGGCCACAAGCCGAAATCTTATCAATCAGGCATATACTTTATAAGAAGAAGAAGACATTATCGATTTACTGTATACGATCGCACGACAACGTACGAACTCTTCCTACACCGAAATTGCTTAACAACAAATATGCAGAAGAAGAATGTCCAGAATAAATCACGCACACCCAGTGAATTCCAATCTAATAAAAACCTCCGAGATGGGTATAGGCCGGCACCCGTGGGTGCGAGGCAAAGACAAAGCAGCAGAACTGTCGCTCCGTGTAACATGTTGGTCGATGCAAAGAAGAAATTTTGCAAAAGAAATCAACGTCTGCGTTGTTATCGTCGCTATGTGCGCGTCACTTTTATACTAAGCGTTTAGTGGGCACGCACGCATACAGGTCCGGCTCGTTCTCAGTAAACAAGGTCGCACACACATACACAGACGCGCACACGCACACACACACACACACACACACACACACACACACACACACATCGGAACGATGCCAGCGAGCCAGCAACACAGCACGACACAATCAAGGGCACTACACACATGCGCACACACGCTCGCATGCACACACACAGCGAGGCATGCGCAATCATCCGCATATACGTTTTCAAAACCAGTTGGGTGAAGAGCCGGCGCCGCACTCGCGCACCACGGGCTGCGTAGCGCAGGGGGGGGACGTGCACCACAACAGCCCCGCGCGTCTCCACAGACACGATGCGGGCATGGAAATACTGAGAAAGCGCACCTTGTCTCGCGATGGTACACGTTATCTCTGCTATGTGGTCCCTGCCGGACCATTAGCGGTAGTGGCGGCATTACGGCCAGGAATGTTTACCGTCAAAGGTCGATGTCCATTTGAGAAGGCAAAGTTGTGGTGATCCGTATAACAACCACCTCCATGGCGGCAACTTAGAACGGTTTGTCAAGGCACGGGCGCCTATAATTATTACAGGCCAGCGTGCATTCAACCTTACTGTCATTCTATGAAGTGTGTAGCGTTGCTAAGACCGGTTGGAAATCACCCATGTTCTTATATTTTAGAGTACGTTAGCGCGCCAGGCGATACACCACATGCCAGCGAAGTGAAAGAATACAAATAGGGAGAGCATCAGAGCGCGACACCCGTCAGAGGGCTCGGACCACGGACATAACGGAGCGCGGCCGCACGCAACACAGCGACAGCACACATACCGATACGACAGCAAGGACGCACACCACCGCCATCGCACACGCGCGCGCACGGCGCACGGCGGCGAGACAATAACCAGGAAAAAGCGCGGAACAAACGTAAGACTCAATCGCCAGCAAATAGAATTGCGAAAAGTCGAAGAAATTCCGATCGCCCGACGAAACCGAGTAATATAGAGACATCACATACAAGGACAAAACAATGCTAGGCAGAAAAAACTACAATTTCTGGACACACCCAAAATATCGGAGGAAAGACGTTGCATTCTCACTGCGGGCGTATGTAAGCATTTTTGAAGACAAACACAACAGCGATTGTCAATGGTATCCGCACCATACACACGATAAAACACGGCGTCAACATGCACTGACAGCGGTTCACGCTCCTGAAGGTGGCAATTATCACTCGAAGAGAGAAAAGGAGGTAGGGGCAAGTGACAAAAAGAGAAGAGAGACGAGGAGAAGAGAGAGAGGACGAGCGAGAGGAGAGAGAAGAGAAGAGAGAGGATGAGCGAAGAGCAGAGGAGAGAGAGAAAGAGAGAGCGAGAGAGAGAGAGAGAGAGAGAATTAGGAGAGAAGAGAGCGAGGAGAGAGTAAGGATGACGAACAGGCAAGGAGGGAAATGAGAGAGGATGAGAGTGAGAGAGAGAAGAGAGAGAAGAGAGGAGAGAGAGAAAGAAGAGAGAGAGAGCGCGCGCAGAGAGCATAAAGAATGGAAAAAGAGAAGGAAAGAAAACGGGGGTGAGAGAGAGGAGAGAGAGAGACGGAGCGAAGAGAGAGGGGGTGAGAGGGTGAGGATGAGAAAACTGAAGAGGTGGGAGGACCGGGCCGCGCGCGCGTGTGTGTGTGTATGTGGTGTGGCGTGTATGTGTGTGTGTGTGTGTGTGTGTGGTAGTGTGTGTGTGTGTGTGTGTGTGTGTTGTGTGGTGTATGTGTGTGTGGTGTGTGCCTGTGTGAGTGAAGAGAGAGCGAGAGGAGAAGACAGAGATACGAACAAGCGAGACTGTATAAATAGATAAAAATGTAAATACATAGAGAGATAGAGATAAGAGAGAGGAGAGGGAGAGAGAGAGGAAATAAGCATAAGAAGACGAGAGAGAGAGAGAGAGAGAGAGAGCGAGAGAGAGAGAGAGAGATGGAGAGAGAGAAGACAGAAGTAGAAAGTAAGGTCAACGTTCCTAATTATCATTTTGAACGCAAATCTATCTGTTCCTTGGTATCGAACATACATATAACACAGAGCATGCGCAGAGTAATGCCCAATACGGTGCCGTTCAGAAATCAACTTTTCGATATGACGCATAGAAAAGCGTGCGATCCTATATTCATACTGTAGCGTGTTTTCCTATTTTACGTTTCACCGCAAATGTAGTAGTAATATAGTATGAAATAGCTGTAAATAGACCTCAATATTAATTGTAATTACGCTTTACGACCCACGACTATGGTTGGCCGTCGCACTCCAGAGAATAATTGTTTATACCGCGGTTTAAATTTTTAAAAATTTAACATCTTTTTCTCCAATCAGGGGCCTGTAGTTTAAGCGTAGTTAACGGCGGTAAAGAACAATTTATTCTGTGGTTAAATTATGTGTAACAAGGCCTCTAATTGGATAAAAAAAAGGGTCTATGATTTTACCGCAGGTTACAGTGTATGCCCTTTTTACCCATTTACCCATTTAGATGCACAAGGCCTGAATCACACCATTAACTGTGAAATTTACAAGCCGCTCACATAAAACGGAATAGGTAAATTGAAGGCAGGTTGTTCTTTGCCTTATCATCGGATCCTACATACATCATACGTTATTTCTCGAAGAGGCGACGCAATATACTCGTGCGCTTGTAACCAACCCTAGAAACTTACTGATGGACTGACAGTTTGACATTCATTCGTATAAATAACTATTGAACCCGCGGTGAATGATTTCCCCAGATAAAAGGACTATACATGGTATCAAAAAACATAGAAATTACTATGATTTATTCATAATAAAATAATAGCATTTATATATATACTGATAGACATAGATATAGGTCGGCAACAAGCACGTTTAAGCGAGCGAACAGACAGCTGGGACTGCGCACGAAAGTATTTAAAAATAACAAATACAGACTAATATTCAGATTATGAATAGAGAAATGCCATATAACATACAAATGATTGATGGAACGATGGACTTTCATTATTAGTCAGGATAGAATGGCGAATGAGAAATAATAGAATAGCTAGAAGTATAAATGTCTGGAGGAGCGATGTCCGTAAGTTTGTCTTGAGCAAAATTCAGTTCGACTGTGGAAATTTAAGTTA